GAAATGCTATAGGGCAGTGGTGGAGAACCTATGGCACGCGTGCCAGAGGCGGCACTCGGAGCTGTCTCTGTGGGCACACGTGCTGTTGCCCCAGCCTCGCCTCCTCCCACGACCCCCTCCTCTCCAGCAGCCCCCCTGAAGGAGAGTCACCCCCGAGTGTGGCCCACACGGAGCAGCGCAGCCAAGGACATGGCAGCCAGGCAGTGTAGATAAGACTCTGCCTCATGCCCCATCCCGCACAATGCTGCAGGGCGCGGGCAGAGGGCGTGGCCACCATGGCGCTGCTGGGCTGCCTGGGCGATCTACGGCAGGCCCTGAAGGTGGTGAGTGGCCCTGCAGGCAGGCGGGGTGGGGGACGGGTTGGGGGCGGGGCAGGGGGTGGAGTGGGGGCAGGGCCAGTTTTTGGACACTCGGTCTCTAAAAGGTTCGCCATCACTGCTATAGGGCTTCCTACTTGAGCAGGGGGTTGGACTAGAAGATCTCCAAGGTCCCTTCCAACTCTGTTATTCTGACTCCCCAGGACATAAAGTGCCTTCTCCTTGTCTCCTTTCCACCTGGAGAAGCTGGGGACCACACCTAAGACCTTTGGGGTAGCATAAATTAAGGGGACCATCATGATCATCCAGCCAGAGGACGCATCCATCTCGGCCGAAAAGAGTTTACTGACACCAGCAGAGGTTCTCCACTCAGGCTGGAGTCTTTGCTAGGGCTTCATAAGAGTGTCACAGACTGTCACCTTCTACACACCTTCTACACATAAGGCAAATGCATTGCTATTAAGAACAATAAGATTCTAGTCCTCATTAATCTAAATAAAGGCAGAAAACTGTACTCTAATTAAGAAATCACCAAGGAGGAAACCTTACCCTCACCAGAATTGGCAGGGCAAGCTACTACAGGTAGTCCTCAACTTATGACCATTTGAAGTTACAATGGCACCGAAAAACATGATTTCTGACCAGTCCTTGTGCTTACAAATGTTGCGGTATCCCCATGGTCACATAATTATGATGCGGGTGCTTGGCAACCATTGTGCATTTATGATAGTCCCAGCATTCCAAGGTCACATGATCACCATCTGCAACCTTCCCAGCCAGGTTATAACACGCAAAGTCAATGGGGAAGCCAGCAGGAAAGGTTGGAAATTGCGGTCATGATGACTTTTCCAGTCCCAACTGTGATCATAACTCTAGGACAGTGGTGGCGAACCTATGGCATGGGTGCCAGAGGTGCCACTCGGAGCCCTCTCTGTGGGCACACATGCTGTTGCCCCAGCCTCGCCTCCCCCCGTGACCCCCTCCTCTCCGGCAGCCCCCCTGAAGGAGAGTCACCCCTGAGCATGGCCCACGCGGAGCAGCACAGCCAAGGACATGGCAGCCAGGCAGCGTAGACAAGACTCTGCCCTCACACCCCATCATGCACAGTTGATGCTGCAGGGCGCGGGCAGAGGGCATGACCGCCATAGCACTGCTGGGCTGCCTGGGCGATCTGTGGCGGGCCCTGGAGGCGGTGAGTGGCCCTGCAGACAGGCAGGGCGGGGGGGTGGGGCAGGGGCTGGAGCAGAGGCGGGGCCAGTTTTTGGGCACTCGGTCTCTAAAAGGTTCGCCATCACTGCTCTAAGACTATCTATCTATATAAACAGGCAGCAAACCCACACTCCCTCACACTGATGATGTAACCTAGCTGGATAATAAAATGTCTGGAAACAAACAACCCGGCTCAGAGAGCATCAAGAACTCCACATCAAAACATCAACACACAGGGGTCAAATTAGCCATCTAGACCAGAGGTCCCCAACCTTTTGAGCACCAGGGACCGGTTCCTTGGAGAGAGGTTTTTCTGCAGACCGGAGGGGGCGTGGTTTCATGTTCTGCCTGCATCCCATGGATGGGGCTTTGCTTGTTTGCGCAGCCCAGTTTCTGGCATGCCGCGGCCCGGCGCCAGTCCACAGACCTGGGGTTTGGGACCCCTGATCTAGACCATTGTTCCAATTCTAAACTTTCAGAAAAGATCTCTTCAAGCAATCTGGATTTGTCAGAATGCAATTTGTGTTTTGTTATAGACTTGTCTTTCTTCTGCTTAAGTTTTTTGGGAGAATCTGCTAGGAACAGAAGGCTAAGCTGGAAAATTCAGGGCCTGATCATGGTGCCATTTTGTAGCTAAATTCACATAACATGAATTTAGGATTCAGATGAACAAAGTCAGATGGACCTTTTTTACCATATCATGTTATATCCAGTGGCATTGGGAGGGTTAAATTCAGAAGGAGTGTCACAATGTGAGCCCAGCCCCTTTTGAATGATGCATGGACATAAGGGGTGGGGTTTGTACCTTGACACTCCATTCATCCCCTTGCTGTTTCTAACCACCAATGCTCCCTCCATCACTTGCAGCTAGTAAGCAACCTCTTTAAGGCTTGAAATGTTGATTTGCTTCAGGCAACAGAATACAGAATAACAGAGTTGGAAGGGACCTTAGAGGTCTTCTAGTCCTGCTATGTCAGAAGATAGAAAAGGCAGAAAAGTGCTTGACGAAAGCAAATGCGAAGTCCTAATTTCTATAGGCACTGCGCTGAAATGTGACCGAGTACCCTTTATTTTATATTGATTTGCAAATTCTAAAGTAAATCCCTGTCTTTATTTAGAAGCCTTTAATAAACTCGGGGCAGCTTATAAAACCTTAGATTTGCACTACTTGGATGATTTTTGCAAGAAACCTTGGTTTTAATTCAGTTATGGCCTTGATGAGTCTCATGAAGCCAATTTGCATACGGGCAACCGAAAGGGATTTGATTCCTGACATAAATCCAGTAGCTTTCAAATATTCTTACCTTTAGAGGCCCAATCCCACAATTAATTATCCACTGCCCTAGAACTGTAATCTCAGCACAAAGGATTCCACGGGACCACTCACTTATGAAACTAATCAGGTACGTTTCATTTTGGCATGTATTCAAAATGCTCTGTGGCGCATAGGAACCGCTGCACTGAAGTTGCAGGTTGCCTACCCCTGCTATACCCTCACCTGAAATATCCAAGAAGCTACGATAGGCCCCAAGTTAGGGTGCTACAAAAAAAGGATATTCACCCAGACAGAGAAGTTTTCCACTGAGGTGCCTTTTACAGGTAGTCCTTGACTTGCTACCACAATCGGGATCAAAATTTCTGTTGCTAAGCAGGGCCGTTGTCAAGGGAATCATATCTGATTTTACAACCTTTTTGCCCCCGTTGTTAAGCGAATTGCTGCAGTTAAGTGAATCACACTGTCATTCAGTGAATCTGGTTCCCCCCTATTGACTTTGCCTGTCAGAAGCCAGCTAGGAAGGCCAGCAGGTTGTCAGTCAGGGGACTACCTGTAGAAGTCCACCGACAGAATGGAAAGCAAAGTGCCGCATCTGTATTTCATACTCGGTAGCTGTAAGCAAGAGACACAACCACTAATCATGACAGCTTTTTATGTAACAATCATGGCTTAATTGCCATTGTCTTCCATTCAAAGCACCTGAAGGCAGGACAAGAAGCAACGGATGGAAACTAACCAAAGAGAGAAGCAACCTAGAACTAAGGAGAAATTTCCTGACAGTTAGAACAATTAATCAGTGGAACAACCTGCCTCCAGAAGTTGTGAATGCTCCAACGCTGGAAGTCTTTAAGAAGAGATTGGACAGCCATTTGCCTGAAATGGTATAGGGTTTCCTGCCTGAGCAGGGGGTTGGACTACATGACCTCCAAGGTCCTTTCCAACTTTATTATTATTGTTGCTATTGTCGTTGTTATTATTATTATTACTATAACTTTGCTGGCTTAGACTACTGAACCCATCTGCCGCTTCTAACCAAGGATCAATATGGTACCAGTTGGAGACCCCGAAGAGAGGCACAGAAACATCTTCTCTGGATATGCTTCTCCTTAATTTCTTGTTCAGCAGCAGACTGCCTCTCAACCAAGGGATTCCATTACCAATTCCCACAGCCAATAATGACAGGAGGATAACTAGATTAGATTTGACTCATGATTCATGAAACCAAACTACTTGCTTTTCACAATGTCAACCGCATTCTTCTTGGTCTTCACACACCATTATAGAGCTGTCCTCATGCACAGGTGGTCGACTTACCACCTTTCATTTAATGACCGTTCAGTTACAATAGCTCTGAAAAATGTGACTAATGTCTGTTTTTCATACTTATGACCGAACAGAAATGTTGGGCTCAATTGCGGTCATAAATCGAGGACTACCTGTATTCATAGTGCCCTATCCTCTGAATCAGTAAATTCCCTTCGGGGGGGGGACTTATGTCAGGGAAATCGGGAGGTTCAAGCAGTTCAAATGAGTATAAAGGTTTACTGCAAGTTTAAGCTCTCAACAAGAATCTGAGCCACAGATAGTCCTCAACGTACGACCACAACTGAGCCCAAAATTTCTGTTGCTAAGTGAAACATTTCTTAAGTGGGTTTTGCCCCATTTTGCAACTTTTTTTTTTTTTTGCCAGATTTGTTAAGTGAATAACTGCAGTTGTTAAATTAGTTACACGGTTGTTAAGTGAATCTGGCTTCCCCATTGAGTTTGCTTGTCAGGAGGTCACAAAAGGGGATCACATGACCCCGGGGCACTGCAACCATCATAAATATGAACCAGTTGCCGAGCATCCAAATGTAAATCACATGACCATGGGGATGCTGCAACGGTCTGCAATGGTCATCAGTGTGAAAAATGGTCATGTCACTTTTTCCAGCGTTGTTGTAACTTTGAACGGTCACTAAATGAACTGTTGTAAGTCAAGAATTACTTGTATTACTAATAGTCAAGGGAAATGAGCAGGAATTAAGGTATTCGAGGTGGGATGGAGTTAAATCTCTTGCAGATGCGCAGGGACTCATGACTGATGACACATTTGACCCCTTCCTCAGACTCCTACAATATGATAGCTTAGGACTATTAAGAACAACTCCACCCCTGAATGGGCCCAATCCTAGGTGACAACCAACTTGGAGGCCTACCTCTCTCGCGGACAAAATATGCCAGGTAGAGGTCGAGCTCCTTGACCGAGACACTGATGTGGTGTGGCTGGACACAGAGGACAGGGTTGGTGCACTGTGCGGCCTTCACAAGGCGTTCCCCATCCGTGCTCTCCAGGGGGATTCCTTTGAAGAGGATCACCATGACGAGGTCGAGACGCCAGACTTTGTCAGCCTGGCGGAGACAGTCGATTCGGCGCATTTTTCCCTTCTGATCAGGGTTGGAGAGGACGCAGCACGAGGGCTTCTTCCCCGTGATGGAGAGCACAAAGTCCTCCCGGTACTCGGGCCGGATGTCCTTGCGCAGCTTGGCCAGCAAGCGCGAAGCCCACTTCTGCTTCACTTCCGGCTTCTCGTTGAGCAGCTCGTCTTTGACAGCCCGCTCCTCGTCTTTCGTCATCCGTTTCTCGTGTTTCTTGAAGTACTTGCGCTTCCGGGCTTGGAGGTTGAACCAGGTGTAGGCGAAGGCCCGAACATGAGGGAGGAGGGCCTCAATGAAAGGATGGAATTCATCCTGAAGGTGGGAAATTAAGAGAAAAAAAAGAAATAGTGGTCAGGCATAAGCTGGGCTTGGAAACATTGTTCTACTCCTATGAAGCTAACAAAAGGATGTGTGTTGGATTGCCAGGTTCATAGAAACCTGCCTGATTTTAGAATCAGGCACCTGAGGCCCTACTCTTCATCTTGTCACCTTATAGATAATCCTTGACTTGCGACTGGTCGCTTAACAATTGAAGTTTGACAAACCTACTTATGGGTACTTATGACCTGGGTTTGAAGTTCTGATGGTCAATCCTTCCCCATGATCACATGACCGGACTTTGGGTGCTCAGCCACTTGATCATGGAGGCAGGAGCCCTGGTGGCGCAGTGGTTAAAATGCAATATTTCAGGCTAACTCTGCCTACTGCCAGGAGTTCGATCCCGTCTGGCTCAAAGTTGATTCAGCCTTCCATTCTTCTGAACTTAGTAAAATGAGGGCCAGATTGTTGGGGGCAATAGGCTGACTCTGCACACTGCTTAGAGAGGGCTCTAAAACACTGTGAAGCGGTATATAAGTCTAAGAGCTATTGCTATCACTCCAGAGCACTGAAAGAAATACACGGCCTCTTTCAGGGCTGAAGGCAGGCCTACCCACCTATTTATACAAGGCAGTGTCAATGCCTGTATCAATGCCCAAGGATGTTTCTCTAAAAGTTTTCACCACCAGGCAGCCTTGGGGTCATTCTTGGGAATAGGGTCCCCTTGGTCTTATTACTCATTTGATCAAATTTGATTAAAACATTTTGAGCATTTTTAGATGAAGGCCTGTGTAAGTGAATGACAGTAACAGTAACAGCAGCCACACCAGTCCTTGATTTATGACCACAGTTGAGACCAGAATTTCCATTGCCTAGTAAGGTGGTTTTTAAATGAGTCACACTCTATTTTGCCTTTTTTGACATGGTTATTAAGTGAATCACTGCAGTTGTTAACTGAACCAAGTGGTCATTAAGCAAATTCAGTATCCCTCATTGACTTTGCTTTTTGGAAGTCAGCTGGGAAGGTCACAAGTAATGACCACATGACCTCAGGACAGTACAACCATCATAAATATAGGCTGGTTGCTAAGTGCCCAAATTTTGTTCATATGACCATGGGTAGGCTATCATGGTCATAAGTATGAGAACCAGTCATAAATCCCTTTTTAAACTTTGAACGGTCACTAAATGAATGGTTATAAGTCTACTTTACAGGTTTTCTGTACAATAGTAAATATTTTTGAATATTTTTCTCATAAAATCCACCTGTGTTCCATACTATCTTTCCTTCATGGAATTAGTATATTAAAACTATGTATTTCATACAAATACAGAGGACAAATTGCTGTATTTTCTTTTAAAGAAAATCTGCCTCAGGAGGCTTCACAGTTGAGCAGATATTGCCTGTCAGCCGATTCTCCAGCTTGAGCAGAGATATTGTCTGTCACCCATAATGCCCTGAGGAGTTGATGGGTCACGGATTCCATTTGCAGGAACAAAGATAGCCATGCTTGGACACCAGGTTATCTCTGTCCTACAAGAAGAGGGAACACAATGCACCAGATTCAGGGCTACCAGCAAAAATTCAAGCTAACTATAAGCAGGTCTAGATAGGGGTGTCCAACCTTGGCAGCTTTGAGACCTGTGGACTTCAACTCCCAGAATTCCCAGCTGGTTGGAGAATTCTGGGAGTTGAGGTCCACAGGTCTTAAAGTTGCCAAGGTTGGACACCCTGGTCTAGAAGAAAGGGAATGCTCCTGTAAGCATCCTTGCTCAATAGTAGTAATTGTGAGAGGGACCTCGGAGTCCTAGTGGACAATCACTTAAATATGAGCCAGCAGTGTGCTGCAGCTGCCAAAAAGGCCAACACAGTGCTGGGCTGCATTAACAGAGGGATAGAATCAAGATCACGTGAAGTATTAATACCACTTTACAATGCCTTGGTAAGACCACACTTGGAATACTGCATCCAGGTTTGGTCACCACGATGTAAAAAAGATGTAGAGACTCTAGAAAGAGTACAGAGAAGAGCAACAAAGATGATTAGGGGACTGGAAGCTAAACCATATAAGGAAAGGTTGATGGAATTGGGTATGTCTAGTTTAACGAAGAGAAGGACAAGGGGGGACATGATAGCAGTGTTCCAATATCTCAGGGGCTGCCACAAAGAAGAGGGAGTCAAACTATTTTCCAAAGCGCCTGAAGGCAGGACAAGAAGCAACGGATGGAAACTAATCAAGGAGAGAAGCAACCTAGAACTAAGGAGAAACTTCCTGACAGAACAGTTAACGAATGGAACAACCTGCCTCCAGAAGCGGTGAATGCTCCAACACTGGAAGTTTTTAAAAAGAGACTGAACAGCCATTTGTCTGAAAGGGTATAGGGTTTCCTGCCTGAGCAGGGGTTGGACTAGATGACCTCCAAGGTCCCTTCCAACTTTTTTATTATTATTATTATTATTATTATTATTATTATTATTATTATTATTATTATTATTATTATTATTATTATTATTATTATTATTATTATCTGTCCCAAGCTCCCTAAAGTTGGAACCCAGGAAGAAGTGGTTTCTCCAGGTTTTAGCTTGAGCAAAGCTTCTTGGCAGTTGTTCCACGTGCTTTGCTTCAACTGAAGTAACAGAGGTTTCTCCAGTGAGTCTTCCAACCCCAACGAGAGAGGACAGTTAAGAGTTTCCTTTCAGGAAAAGGGAAAGGAAACCAAATGGGCTGCTTAATTTCACAACAAATCGAGCTAGAAGGTCTAAGTCAGGGGTAGTCAACCTTGGCTCTTTTATGACTCGTGGACTTCAACTCCCAGTATTCCTGAGCCAGCTGTGCTGGCTCAGGAATTCTGGGAGCTGAAGTCCACGAGTCATAAAAGAGCCAAGGTTGACTACCCCTGGTCTAAGTAGTAGCTGAAAAGAGAAACAGTGACACTCTTATCCAGAAAACTGATTTCAGGGAACAGTGATGAGAGGAAAGGGAACCACCTCATGCTGGGCACAGGGGCATTCACACACTCACAATCACACACACAAAATGAGAAAGGCAGCCTGATGGGGTCAGCATGAGGTTCCACATTGGAGATGGCTGCTAGATTGATGGCAGACTCTACCTCCTCCCCTTTGCTTTCTGCTCTCCACCCATTCAACTTTTGGGTTATCATATTATCACTTCCTTTGTTGTTATTTATTTATAAAATTTATTTCCCACCCATTTTGTATCCTCTCAACAATGATTTTATTCTTTATTTTATTGTTCTGTTATTTTACTTCTTTTTACACACCTTTTCATTTTTCTTTCTTTTTATTATTGTAAGCCGCCTAGAATAGCCCTATGGTGCGACAGGTGGCAAATAAATGTAATAAATAATAAATAACAATAATAGTAATGAAGGGCAAGTAAGTGGAGAAGACAGAGATACCACATCTCTTCTAAACACACCATACTACACTCAGGAATGTCTCCTAAGGGCTCTTGACTAGTCTACCACAGAAAGGGTCCTTGCTGGATGGGAGGAAGCATTCATGGGAGATTGGATAGACAAGTTAAACAGGTTATAACGATACATCTCTATGCCAAAAATGGCAGACAGGGAATTATGGCTTGCTCAGTGGAGCACTGAATGGATGTGACATACATAAAAATCAAACCTTTGATCTACGTAGGCCAGTACTGAGTACAAATATTCCTTGACTTACAACCATTCGTTTAGTGACTGTTCAAAGTTACAATGGCACTAAAAAAGTGACCTATGACTTTTATTCACACTTACAACTGTTGCAGCATCCCCATGGCCACGTGATCAAAATTCCCAGGGTCGGGGACTTCCGGTGGCGAGGCTTCGCCGAAGGAGGCTTCTTTCTTAGCCTCCCGCCCGGGACTGCGTCAAAGCTGTCAAAACAGCGCGGATCAGCTGTTTTGCGGCTCGGAACTTTCTCCCCGGGCGAAGGGGAGAAAGTGAGTTCGGTCTGGATAGGGGTTGAGTTCCCTAGTCCCCCCAGGGATGAAGGTGATGAACTCCCCCGGAGTCCGGACCTCCCTCCGCAGCTCGGAGTGTCTTCGCTCCTCAGAGCGAAGCTAGACGTCGCCGCCACTGCTGCTACTTTGTATCTGCTTGTGAGTAACTTTTGAACAGACGGAACCAGACAGGGGATTTTTACTTTAGTTAAATTGTGACTTTAACTCAAAGATTTTACTGGGATTTTTGCCATTTGCTATAAGTGAAAGTGAGAAGAAAATGGCCGCGGAAGCACTACTTCTTTGTAACAAAAGGAAAACTTTCACTTTTTTTCCGGTTGTGGAATGATACATTTTAAAGGACTTTAAAGAATTTTTTTTTAAGTCAAGCTTTTTTAAGTTTACACTTGCTGTTGTGAGTTTCAAAAATAATTTGG